GGTAAATTTCAATCAAAAAAAGCCAATCGTGCATAGAGCGCAATAAACGATACTAAAGTGCCAGCGCACCGCGCTGACAGGCCCTAGGGGCCGGAGTGCAAAAATATTGCCCCGGACTAGCCGTAAGGCCTGACCTGGAGGCGTTGTGCAGAAAATGCAATGTGGTGTGTGTCCATGTGTGCACAGTGAGTCATGTGGGGTCACATCCCCAAGTGACCTTCTGAGCACCCCTGGTACGCCACCCCCTAGGGGGCACAACACCACGGGCTCTGCCGCCCCCCAACCCTCCAGCCAGACCAAGCTTCGTATCCAATCAGAAAGCCTGTACAGATACTACACTTGATCTTAGCCAAAAGGCCGAGAAGCCATGTGGTACCTCACAGGTGACAGACATGAACCCTCACAGGGGACACACACAGGCCCTTGCAGGGGGGGGGGGGAAGCCTGGGCACCCCCCAAATGACAAATATCGGAAAAAAAAAGGGGGGGGGGTAGACCTGGCCACCCCCCAAATGACAAATATAGGTCCTCCTAGGGAGATAATAAGGGGTCCCAACAGGGGACAGATGTAAGCTACGAAAAAGGGAAAAATATTTACCCTATGGACACCGAGAGGAGCTCTGCTATACATAAATTGTTCATTATATTTACCCCTACCAGCACTGTGAGGAGCTCCGCTATACATTACAAATCTACATAACAATCTAACGTAGCCTTCAGCAGAGCCCCGCCTCCAGCTTTTCCTCCACCAATAGCGGATGACGCGGAGTAACCTAAAACATGGAAAATCTTTGGAAATTGGAGAGTTAAAGAGAATATTCCGGAATTATGAAACCTGCCGCTGATCACTTCCTAAGTGTTCAGTGAAAGGAGCGGAAAAATCTGCCGCAGGATGGGGGCCCCCGGGGGGGGCGGTGGGGGCACACAACAAATGATCTGCATTGCATCTTCATACTAACGCTCCTGATACATGGATGGGGGAGATGCTCTGCAGCTGCCTCTTCCTTGCAATGCTCTGCGGGAGGTAACGAGTCTCGCGGATTCTGTTGCTGGGTCACGTTTCCTGGGTGATGTCACCGGTCACGCAGGAACACGGGATGGGGGAAGGGGGCTCTGTAATGAGAAGGATGGCTGCACATCGATGGGATTCTCTCCGGCAGGGAAGGGGTTACACGGAC